AGTGTGGTGCTGTACAGAGGCCAAATGCCAAAACAGTTATCCTTGTTCCAGTATTTCTGGTCCTGACTGTACGTAGTACAATAGTGACAATCTTAGCTGCACTGTTGTTTCTGGAGACTGGAAGTCTTTTTTCTTTTTTTTTAAATTCCACCGTGTTTTAGTATGGCTCCATTTTACCAGTAAGTGGGAAAATAATGCTAATGCCTTGTGTCTCATGCTGAAGTCTTTAAAATGGGATAGATCTGAAAAGAGCTAATCAAACAAAATAGGATACAAGGCCCTCCTGCTGAACTTAGGATTTTAAAGCATATTTATATTGGCCTGTCTCTCATGCTGGACTACTCTAACCAGAATGCTTGACTATCAACCCTTTATGAAAGCAATATATCAATAGTGAAGAGAAGGAGAGCCCCATGTTTGTGCACATTTTAAAGCTGGCTTCTCCATCTAGCTGGGGAGAAACATCCAGCTACGAGAGAAGGTATTTCCCTGTGTGGGCTTGGTTTAAATGTCTCAGCATCCATATCCGGTCACAGCTGTGTATACACACATGCAGGGAATACCAGCCCATATTCCTGCCAACAGAAACAAAGAGAGCTACTTTGTTCAAAGGTAGCCTCTTATCACAGACTAACACTGAGAAGCACAAGAAAAGAATTAGAAAAGTCCTAGAAAAACAAGGCAGGTTGCTTTTCTTCTAGATGTCTTCTCTCATGACTTTTCAACATCTAACCAGTCAAGCAAACACACAGAATTGACTCCAGTTTGAAAACAATGACATAGAAAGCCCTGCTTTTCTAACATTCTGCGCTCAGAGATTCAAACACTGTCGGTAGAAAAGATGCTGGAATCCTGAAAAGCAGATATCATGAAGAAGTTGCTCAGATTCCACAAGGTTCTTGAAAGTGTTTTCCCAAATGATTTATGGGAAGCAAAACTACACAGTTAAGCTTTATGAGTAATAACAATGAGCAGAAAGCCACACATTGAAGAAATAAATCAAATTTTAATTCAGATAATTATTCTACAAAAAAAAGAGTAGTTATACTGGTGAGAGTGATTATGATCTCATTCCCTTACTGTTGGTCTCATCAGGGTCTCACATTATCAGCTGTAGAAACAGAAAAATAGAAAGGATATAAAAATTTTCAGGTCTGTTTAAATACATTTTTGCCAAGATGGATTACATAGGTGGTAAGAGATGGTCTTTGATTATATAGGATAAAATCCAATAAAAAAACATACACTATGTAAATATAAGGACTATTGACTGAATCTGATTTTCTTTGTTTGTAGATAACTACAATTCCATGCTTTCAAAGGCTTGGGGGATGTAAGGAGAAAGAAGAACTGATTTTCTGTTTACTGGTGGTACTTCAGTTACAGAAAACATTAAAATCTGGTCAGTTCTCTCAACTTGGTATTGACTATGAAAACTGTTTATATTTCCTAAATATAACAGAAAACATATTTTGGCATTTGGGCTTCCCTCACTTGCCTCCAGAAAAAGAATAAGCTTCTCCCAAAGTTTAGGAAGTTACAAAGTTCTCAATAAAATGTATATGTCTGCATTTAATGGAGATGCTTTTAAGTACAGGATATGGGTTCTTTCCGGCTTCCTTGTATCAGTGAATATTGGTCCTACACAGACAAAATGTAGTAATTGTTTCATGCTTTTGGGACCAATTAAACATGCAGCAATCACAAACTGAGCTGATGTTTTAGAAGTGAAAAACAGACTTTCAATTTTTTAAAATTGTAAAATATTCAGATTTGAATTTGAAATTCAAAATCAAAGATTACCTCATAATTCAAAACTTGACTTGTTTTGATCACCTCTAAGGGGACGTTTCCTGATCTGAAGCAAATACTGAAGCAAAATATACATTATTGACATCAAATAACACTTGTTGCCCACATCAAAATATTCAGAGAGTATCTGGAAAATATTTTGAGTATTATATGAATGTAGTGAATATCAACATCAAAACTCACAAAAGAGATTTTTAAAGGAGAATGGATTGCAGGGGATGAAAGAATCAATTTGGTACCCTTTGAAGATCACCCTGGCCTAGAATTTCATTACCTGTGCAATGACTTCAGGATCCATGGGTCGGTGGTTATTAAAGCTCTTTGACCTTCCTGCAGTCACGTTCTTCCTGATATGGGGGCTATCTATTCTGTTCTTCAGAGAGGCATGCCGACTGAGAGAATTGAGGCTCCCATGGCCACTGATGGAGCATGCATCTGGTACTGGTACGTCCTTTGGGAGACTTTGGCTCATAATGGGTTGTGAGGAAGGACGAGGACTGGCTCCAGAAGGTGTGGGGTCACCCAGTGAGCTGGGTAATCCATGGCTGTCACTCTGACGGAACGCTCTTCGTATACTCCCTGACTCAGGCTTCTTCCTTTGTCTGTCATTGTAAAAGCAGCACAGAAAATATATTTTTCAAACAACATGGATAGAAATAACTTCTAAACAAAGACGGTTTCAGAAAGGAAATGAAAGTTACTCAATAAGCATTCTGCAGAAATTAACACTTCACTCTAGTTGTAACACCCAGCCAGTATGATATATTAATTAGAGCAGAATATGGTCAGCTAGAGTAGCTGGGGCCACTGGGAATTCTGGAGGTCATGGATTCTTAGAGTGTTGGATTAGGGTTTCACCATTAAGGTCAGTGCGTGATTTAGAGTCTGTCACCCTCCTCCCCTTGAATTAAGGAGGAGGAAAAAACTAACTATATATTCTGCTCTGACTTCTTTGAAATGATGAGTTATAAATGGGTAGCATAATTGTAATAAATATTTGTAAACAAAATACAGATTTCAACAGCAGGTTTCAGCATTCACGGCAATCTGAAGTAAAGTATTTTAGCGTATAGAAGATATATGCTAAAATAACAAATGTGCAAAAGATAAATTGGGATTCCTTCAAGAAGTGAATGTGATCACCCATCAGCCCAACACATCAAGGCAGTTCAGGAATTCTTAAATATTAAAAAATATTGTATGAACAAGATATGTATTTTGTTATGCAGAGGTTTGAGAATGAATTATGCCAAAAGGATGTGTAAAACATTTAAAATTCTAATTGTTCAGACTTTGGAACATCCCATTTGAGAGTGAAACAGTTGTTCTGAGCGTGAAAGAAGCAGTCTTCACTGTTTTTGATGTATTTTGAGCAAAAAACAGCTCCATTTTTACTTCAAAACACTTTTTCCAATTCAATACAAATGCTTCAAAATCTTTGCTTTTGAAACACCTGTTTCACATTCAAAATGAGGCATTTCAAAATTGATAGAGGGTGTTTCAGTCTCAGAATAGTTGAATTTGAAACCTGTTGCATATTCATATTGTGTTGCATGTGGTAAGAAATAGCAATTTAGATAAACTTGATTTTGGTGTTTTGGTATTCCAAGAGAAAACAGTATTAGATAGGAACTACTATATCATGCAATCATATGAACTGTGCCAAAGGGATCATGTTCGCTATGTGAAGCCTTTATAATAAACCAAATATTTTATTTCTCTGCATTTGAATTTACAGAAGCTAACATAGGGAAAGTTATATAAATGAAAACTAAAGGACACAGACCATGAAGAAAGTAATGTGAGATTCCTCCTCTGAGACTGGTGGGTGATAGTGAGAACACAAGAATCAAGCAAGTGGCATGGTAAATTTTCCACTGGTAAAAAGCATATTCTAAGTATCTGCGAAATTATTAAGTCTCACCAACATTATAGATTTGGAGAACATAATAGCCCCTAATTATATTCACTTCTGAAGACATAGCATTTTCCTCCTAACCAGTGGACCATTTTTATACTATAAAGAAATCTGATATAGCTTACTTATTGATATTTGCAAGATAAATGTCAGCAACATGGCTGCCACTTGGACAATTTGAACCAGCCCTGGCTGTCACTTTTTCTTCCGGTGGCTCGGAATTTAGTTCCACTTCAGATTTTGGGCTTGATCTTTCAGACATCCCATCCTCGCTAGGAAAGAAAGAAAGAATATACAACAAACTCTGTGTTATGTCCTCAAGCTGCACCGTTAGACTATAAAATGTTAGGTGCCACAAACATTTTATCAACACAATTCTTTTGCTTCCCATTATATTATCCGCTTTTACTCCCTTACTTAAAGGGATCCTCCCTAATGGGTAGCCAAAAGACAGTTTGGAAAACTATCTAGGAAGTTTTTATTGATAAATTCAAAAACATAATGCAGAACAATCAACATTCACAATACTCTAAGGCCAGTAAAAACTTTTCAATGAATCATCTTCAGAAATAATGTTAAACTGATTCCTGCTTTTCCAAACACAACTGTAAGAAACAACATACGTGTCCTGGACAACAATGTACTGATGGGGGATCAAACCGTCAATGCCGTTGTGACGGCCTTCCCACCAGTCGTCAGAGGCCCGATGATAAAGCAGGAGGGAAGCCCCCTTTTTAAAGGACAGCTCACGTGCTGTTCTGCCCGTGTAGTCAAATTTGGCTATTGCTTCAATGGGTTCACATTCTAGGAGAAAACGAGAAAATTTGAATGAATGCTTGTGTGTGTATGTGTATACACACACACACACAGAGAACAATTAATCTGTAATTTATTTAATAAAGTTCAAATATTCATTTTTCTTGTCATTGGAGTTGAATCAAATACAACTAACAGTGAATGACAGTCCAGGCAGAAGTTGGCAAATGTTTTGCTAGCAGAGGTCTTTACAGCTATTTAAATATATCTTAAAACCATCTTCGATTTTATAGTGTTCTCCTTTTTGTTTTCTACCCACCCAGGGATCTGTGTACCTCATTCAAAGTTTGATTTCAACAACCATTTCCAAAAGTAAGAACTATAAAGGTTATTTGTATTATAAAATATTTATATTATAAAATCTAAATATACTCTGCATTTCCATAATTATTTGTTTGCTATACTTCCCACCGACTTTTGGGAGAGTTCCTGATACAATCTAACACTGATTCTGTATCTGGCCCAAACAAACCTACCCTAGCCACCATTAAACAGATGAAGGTTACTGAGTCCATACTTGACAAAGCTAAGAACGTTTTAGTAGATTCTCCCTCCTATAAGCTGCAACCAGCTTCTTCATTAATTCACAGGGCTTGCTTTTTATTTAACCATTCTATGCTTTCCCTTGTTATTGGTGTTCTGATCTGCTCTATACCATGTTATCACCAAATGTGGCCTCTATAGCTGCCTACCCCCTATCAGCCTAGAAATCTTTTCGTTCCTCCCAAATTTCCTTCGGCTTAGATCAACACTTGAATTTAAACGTGTCTTAATTTTTGTTTGTTTGCTTTGCTCTGAGTTTGGAAAAACTTTTACTTGACTGAGCAACCATATACAAGCTTAATGGAATGAATCAGTCATTTAATTCACCTCGCAGCAAAGGTGTGTTCTAAGAAGGAAGTCCTGCCTTGGGTATGGGGAATGGTGATCTCAGTGTCTTTTTCAGGAAGAACAGGAAAATGCAGAGCCATTACATTTTGAAGCCCATCTTATTTACTGATGAAGCTTAAGGCATGAGATTGCAAAGCACTGAAACTGTCTGAAGGCCAAGCAAGTTCATCTGCTGGATTGCAATTTCAGACATAGTTTTTCCAGAACCCAAGATCTGTCAATATAGAATACTAGAGAGAGAGATTATTTGAATATTCAGTGCACAGTAATTGTTACAGATGTTACTTATGTGAAAAACCACTCAATTGATGTTTTGCTTAACTGGGGATTATTTTTCAGTCCTAATTCTTTAGATTATATGTATACTTATATTTATTTCTGAAGTATTTAGTTCTTGGGACCCATTAATACTATACTTTTTTTTAAAGCCTTCTATAGGCCTGAATTTCAGTTGGCATTCAAGGCAACCAAAAATAAAGGGCAAAGAAGTTACTGATTCTCCTACCATCTCTAAACACAGAGGGAACCCATTTATCTTTGTCCATTAATCAACACTGAGTGAACCAACAAAGACTCTAATATAATTTTAAATATTGCCCCTGTTATTGAGCACACACACTCTATGGTTACACAGTGAGCTCAAGATAACAGAATTTCTTAGGCCTGTCTTCTGGTTCTTATTCTCTACTGAAATTTGGGTTTTTTCAAAGTTAGAAATTGGGGCTCCTTATTCAAATGTACTGGATCAGCCCAAGAACATGCTCATGCAAATCTGGCAGTGCTGAATCTAGAAAACACATACTGTTAAGTTATATGCTTTACAAAACAAATAGAGACAGTTTATTGTAATCTTTTATTATGCCATTCAAATACCAATTTTGTAATACTAGCTAGTAGATAGGAGAACACAATTCAAACCATATTGCTGTGTCGAATATTCTAGGTCCTTCAATAAGGTTGTAAACAAATGTCTTCCATGACCAAAACATTTATTTAGATAAGGGAACAGAGGAATCCATATTTCAGTCAACAAGTGTTTAGCCAAGGCTTATATTAAAACCAGGGATGTGCTTCATCTTGAACCCAGAACAAATCATTGCTTTTTGGAGGTTTTGCTCAACCATTCTGGAATGGCCATATTTCAGTTGAAACAAACCCTGGACTTTCTGGCTGTTCCAGGTTTCAGATGAAATCTGAAGGGATCCTGGAGATTTTGAGGGCAAGTACGGCAAAGCTAATGCATGTCATCCCTTCTTTCCCCTCTTCTCCTCAGCAGCTTCCAGTTTGTCCTTTCCCACTGACCAGCCAATTCCCCAGATTTAGCAGCACCTTCTCTTCCTTCCATTTCCTCAGTCACTGGTGCCGCCAATGTCCTGGTCTATGCTGCTGCTCCTTATTGCAGTGATCTCAGCAGCAAGGAATAGACTCGCTTATGTAACATGTCCCATAAGCCACCTAAATTCTTGCAGGATTTCCCTTTCTTCTCTCTTCCTGTGCATCTGCCAATGTCCTTGGCTTTCCCTGTTCTTCCCTCCTGAACAATTGCTGTTCACTGCCTGGACCTAGAACAAAACACTCTTCATTTTGTTCCATGACATCTGAAATGTCTGTTTTGATTCAGGCACAGAGCCCTCAAAACCAGTTGTCCTCTGCACAAAACGCTTTGTGCACAGAACGTTTTGCACACTTCTAACTAAAATGCTTATAAAATTAATACTAATGGCCGGTGTTTTAAATATTTTTTGCCATTAAATATGTGAAAAGATGTGCCGTCATAAATTTGTGAATCTAAAAAATCTGCTAATTGCCCAACAGCAGTGAAAGGAAAAGAGCATTATGGCAAAAGGAATAAAATGGAATCAATTTCCCTTACAGCTTATTTCTAAGAATTCCTTCTGAAGGCAGTGAATTTTCCATAATAACCTTTTTCAAGAGTTTTGTGCAATATGCACAACAATGTTTTTCCAAGATGTTATTTCAATATTTCATTCCAAATATGATAAAAAATGGTGTTGTGGAAGACTCTATCAGACACTGCTTACCATCATCACTTGTATGGTGTTCAATAGTTATATCCTGAGTGGCATCTTCTGTAGAGGCCGTCTCTCCATGAGGGCTTTCGCTGCAGAGGAAAGAAACGCACAGAAAGTTAGACTGATGGCTGCAATTTTTATCATTACTACATCATTAAAATGGTATGTGGTACTTCAGGTACCACCTTTTTGCCTAATACCTTATTTTTTATTTAATTTTTGGTGTGAAAAGCAATGTTGAATAGAGCTGTATATTATCATGTACTTCAAACTAAATATGTCTGAGTGACTATGATAATTTTTCTCTTTGATTTTATTTCTGAATGGGAAAAGAAGCCCCTTCATGACACTGGAGGATAGAGATGAAGTGCTTCGGGAAGTGAGAATGTACCCTTTTGTGACATCCTGAAATAACTGAGGTAGATGGGGGAAATTACTATCCACATTAGCAGTAATGAACATGTGAATTTGCCTTAGTCTGAGCTGAATCATTGATCCAATTATCTCAGTATGATCTATTCTTCCTGGCTGGTGAAAAAGGTTTTTCTCTATTAACGCTGCCTGATAATTTTAAGTATCAGGAATTAAACTTAAACCTGTAGCATATGAGCTCTGTTACTAAATTTTAACTTCTCTTTTTTCTTAATGTAAGTAACATGTTTGGAGTTTGAAATGTTTGAGGCAAGTGCCTTAAATTCAGTATTGCTTTAACTCAGGAAAAATACTTACAGGTAGTCCTTGCTTATTGACCATTCATTTAGTGACCATTCGAAGTTACGATGGTGCTAAAGTGACTTATGGCTGGTACCCGAAGTTCCGACTGTAGAGTGCCCTCACAGTCACATGATCGTGATCTGGGTGCTTGGCAAACAGCTTGCACTTACCATGGTTACAGCATCCCAGGGTCATGTGATCACCATTTGAAACGTTCCCAACCAGCTTCTGGCAAGCAAACTCAATGGGGAACTGCATGATTCACTTAACAACCACATGATTTGCTTAACAACCACTGCAAAAAAGGTTGTAAAATCTTGTAAAAATTCACTTAACGACTGCATCACTTAGCAACCTAAATTCTGGTCCCAATTGTGGTCGTTAAGTAAGGACTACCTGTATTGTTATCTTAAGGTTCTGATAAGCCTATGAGGACCCAACTATTTCAGGGAGTGTCCCCCAAATCCCCTCTTGTTGAACTCCTCTTCCCTCAGATGTGGAAAGAGGCAACTTTGTAGTTAATGGAAGGTGAAAGGGAGAGAAAGCCAAATGCAGAGGCGCCATGGCAAAATGCCACTTGAGGTTGGAGATTCCACATTTCTACTGTTAAAACAAAAAGGATTTTTCTAAAATGTATGATGAAACTACCTTGTAGGTTTTGTCACAACCAGAAAGAGTTTTATATTAATTAAAAAAGGGATATCTGTCTGTCGCACAATGATTTTGCTATAAATACAGATTTCCTTCTGTATGCAATATCAAGATAGGTCAAAGGGCTCAGAAATAATTTGGCATGGAAAGGCAAGTAAATACTTCAATTATGTTGGCTCACATTTCAATCCCTCTGCCCAAAATGATGCCAATAATAAAAACCCTTTTTTACACACCTCTGGTATAGCTTTTGCCTTCCATTTTTCAGCAGGGTAATTTTTTTTAAAGCTAAAGTCCTAAAAGCACACATGAATATAGAGGTTACTTAGTACAAATTTGAAAAAAAAGAGAGAGATCGAAAAGTTATTAAAAATGTAACAGATGCCATCAGTTTGATTCAATGTAGCATAAACACCATGTGTTCATGTTAGAAGATTCTGTTAGTACTGAGGTAGGAAACTGAATCGGAACCAACGGTTCTCTTTTTCCATACTGTGGTGGACTGGATAATTCAGGGCCAAAGCTTTGGTGATCAGTGTTTCTGATCCAACTGAGCAGACAAAGGCAGGTGCACTCAGTCTTTTCTAGTACATAAAGGAAAGGACTGTTTTTCCCTGTCTCAAGTACTAAAGAGGAGAAGCAAGCTTGCTGTTAATCTATTGCAGATAACAAAGACCAGCCCTTTTCCACAGTGCAAAGGGAGGAATGAGACGCAGCAGAATCTGGATGGCAGGCTGAATGGACGTTCTCGTGGGCCGTAAAGCATTAGAAAGTCCTGTATTTCTTATGACTGACTCACATGCACACATGTGGGTCTTTCTTGGTTAGACAGTTATGGAGATAGGGAGGCTTAGGCATTCCTCCCACATTTCATTCCAACCTCCCTTCTCTTTGTGAAGGAGCTCATGTGCTTTGTCTTATTGATATGTAGCAAAAATAGGGGCAGAAGCATGCTATGGTGAATGTCTATATCTGCAGAGGAGATGAAAGACAGGACTCTGATAAGGCATATGGGAATGCTGTGTGTGGGCGCTACTCCTATTGTGGAACAGATCAACTTATATTTTAGAAGGATAAACAGGAGGAAGAATATAAGAACTGATATTTTCAAAAATCTCAATAATTAGAAGATAGAAGTTTATGATCTAGTATCAAAATACAATTTTTATCCTTTATGTAAATGTCAAAATAAAATAAAAGTTGTTAAGGCCACCCAAATCCAAGAAGACTTTGGGTGGTGTAGAATAAGTCCAATACATAGATTAAAAACACATTAAAAACCACATAATTGCCTGGACCAATTCCTTCCTTGCTTCCTATTTTAAAAAGCTAAATGGATACAGTATCTTAAAGCTCACAGAATCTTATGCACCAATATCTTCTTTAATCTTTCAAAAATCAAGCGGATTTTCTATTTTCAAGAGATTTAAAGGGCAAGGCTGCTTAGAGTTGGTTGATTGGAGTGGCCTCTAAGCCATGTAATAAATAATAAAAAAAAAAAATGGATGGCTAAAGCTTTTGCAACATTTCAGGCACCCATTTTGCCCTTCTGCAGAGGGACCAAAAATGTTGGTCTGCATACTTTGGGTGCATACTTCACCAATCATATATCTTGGGAGGTAAAAGAAAAATAAAAAAGCTTATTCTTGATGTCATCATTATAAATGGATTTTTTTCATTTAACAACTTACAGTAAATACTTTTAGGCATTTTTGTTAGCTATTTTTAATAAAAGTATCTATTAGCATTTGTGCACACATTTAATAAAATTGAAAATCTAATTACAGTTACTGCATAGAAACTCATAGCATTTCAGCTTCCCTCAGAATCTGCACCTTAAATTATGTTAGACTGTCTTTCTATATTTTCCAAGGCAGAATAAAATATCTAAAACTAACAGCTGAAGTTTCATAATTAATTTTAAATAATTAAGTATGTAATTAAAATGTAATGATATGCAGTGGAGAAAAGATTACACTACCAGTTGATGTTTTACTGAGAAATGCTCACTTTCTCTAAAAATATATTTTCTTTCTAATTCTTACATGGCCATTTATTTATATGCTGTTATGGAAGAATAACAAACAGAAATTACAAGTGGAAATGCTATGAGAAGTTTTTTCTTTAAAGGAAATTAGTTTAGCTATTACCAGACCCTGTTGCAAGGCTGTGAAATCCATGCAGTGTTATAATTATAAGACGTAACAGATGGTGACCAGTTACTAAAGTTGATGCTTCTCCAAGTTCAATTACTTTGCACAGAAGAAATATCTTGGATTTCTTAATCTTTGAAGGAAGAGTTATAGAATGTGTTCATATGATTAACCTTATTTCTAGAAACACAGCAGTCTTTCCTCTCATCTTAAAATTGTGTTGGGTAACTGCATACTTGTATCCTGATATTATGGACATTACAACTTTCACTCAGAGAATAAACCCACCATTTTCAGAAGATTTTCAAAATCAAAAATGTTCAGAACAATTTGTTCCATAAGTGCTGAGTAAGTGCATAAGGTTGCCATGTTTATGACATCTGAGGTACCTAGAAAAAAATGGCTATGTGATATTAGTAGCACCCTCCAGATGAAAGAAACTCATGCTATGTAATCTACAATGGGGGAAAAGACAAAACTACAGTATGAAAGGACTTTTCACAGTCAGAGTTAAAAGACTGCTTGTCAACTGGCTTAATTTAACTGCCTATCTTCATTAATTGCTTTTTGTGTACCTAGCTTAAGGAAGACGTTCTGACAAAGGATTTGCTCAACCATTGATTTGACTCTGGACTTTTAACTCAAGGATCATATATAACTTTGTTTTTAATCTTCAGTTAAATTGGTTGACTTAACAAGGGCATAATTATTAATTCAGCAAATTACTAATCTGAGGATATCTCTGGAAATACTCCTTGCTGCCCTTTTTTGCACTCTTCCTTACCAATGGAAAAGATTAGATACAAACCTCAGATTCTATACTCTTTCTTAATCTTCTTACCATATGGAAAAATAAACACTGAAATTAGACGTTCTCTCCTGCTTCAAGTAGCATTAAACCTGGTTGTGGTGCCAGCTGGCTGCTTTGGTCTATTTAATGAATCAACACACAGAGGCAAAAGAATTGGAGGCTCAGAAAATGGTAATCCTGCTGGGAGTGCTAATCTACTGCAAGGTTCAAGGGAAGACCAAAGATACTTAGAATCCACAAACATATCAGCAACATTATTATTGTATGATGGTGGCCTGGGAGTTACAGAACAGATGTTTCATCAGCAAGCAGGGGAGAAGTGAAAGATTTGAAACTGAGCTGATTTGAAACTGCACACAATGTCACAAGGCCCAAGCATGCCTTTACTCAAAGGGAGTCTTTGTTTTGCCTTAAAATAAGCCCTCCCACATTTGGCAGCCAGCTGAGCCTGCATTGCAAGAAGATGGGTCAAGAATGTCTCCCTTAAGATTAGCTTCATGATCCCTAGAAGTAAATTGCTTCTCAAGAACTCCTTGATCTACTGCTGAACAAGAGTTCTTCAAGGAAGGTTTTAAAAGATCCCTCAATGATTTGGATTTGTGATTCATCCAATCTTGAGATATTAAGATTCAATGCCTCATCTCTACCCCATAGCTGTTACTTCTTTTTGGTGGGGAGCTATGTTTATATTACATCCTTTTTTTTGTCACAAGATCTTACAAAAGTAAATTATGCAAGACATAAACCATGGAGAATAATGGAAATTAAATTGATTTTGTAACTACCATTTAGAGAGACTAAGCTTGCAAAAAACACACAAAAATGTTAAATATTTTATACTGGCCTCCAATTATTTTTTTTCCAAAATCGTATTTTATTTTCTTAAAATAATATATACAGGTAAATGTCAAGCCAGGAAGAAGATTACAACTAAGCAAATTTATTACACAGCATTTAGAATGACTTGGCAAACCTCTTTGGAAGATTTAATTCTATTCCAGTGCAATGAGAAGGATCTTCAGCTGTCCATGGTATAGACCATCTATTTACCCAAAGGAACTTTGGAGCCAATTGTTCACAGTAAGTACTTCTGTTTCTTCTACTGTTTGCCATAATTTAGAAGCTTTGTTAAAACTTGAACAGCTGGAGCAGTAGAAACCCATTTTCCAGACCTTGTTCCCCTGCTGAGAATGCATGATGTCCTACAGGCTCCAAATAAAGACATTAACAGAAGCTCATTTTTTATAACCCTGTGACCATTTTATAATCAACTTAGGAACCTTCATCCTTAAACAAAGGGAAAGGCAATGTAAATAATGGAAATTAATATTGGCAGCTAACAGAGTGGCTTCAGGTTTGTGGGCTTTTTTTTTTTTTTTTTGGAAAATGTGAAAATAAGAATAAATTTTGTAGTCTTGGCATGGTACTTCAGAGGAAGAACAGTGAAATCAACCCAACTGATTGTCCAAAGGTACAACTAAAGCGGGTGGGGGAGGGGATCATTTTTAACAGTCTTCCTTTCAACAAATGGAGCAAACAATTCTCTTCCTGTCTACAACTACAGGACTCCCTCCCCATCACCACCCTGGTGAAAAAAGTTACTCCTGCTGAATTGTTTGCAGATGTTGGCTTCAGAATGAAGGCACAAACAGGCCCCCTGTGTGTAGAGTTGGAGAGAAAGGAAGGCTTTCCCCCTTGTCACTGCTGCCCTGAAATTAAACCATTCTGAGCTTTCAAGGCTCAGCTGCTATCGACTTTGCCTCTGAAGGAAAGTTGCTCGAGATATGCTGAGAAAAGTGATGGACGTCAGTGATGGACGTCAGGCAGTGTGCTGCTACAGCATTTCCACAATCTGGCGATGGTAATTACCAAAATATCATTACAGATGGTTTCATGGACAAGCCTGACTGGATTTGTTTTCTTCAGTATAACAATGCATATTCATGCTAGATACCTTCTGCCAACTGAAGAGGTATATATTTTCAGCGTGGGAAACCCGGTTGCATTTAAGTCTCAACTCCAACCATTTTGTCTTTACACAATACAAATATCAAAAGCAGGATAAATCCTGGAACCAGTGCTTTGAAGTAGCATTCTGCTCCCTTCACTTCTCTCCCTTTACTTCCTACCGTACCAGTAATCCTCAGTGCTTCCACCCCTGGTGTACACAGCTCCCTCCAGCTCTCTTGGTCCTGGGAAGACATTCTCATGTTGTATGATTATAGTTTTGATGAGCTCATTAACATGAGCTTGGCAGGAGACCTGATCATGGCCTTCAGGCACTGACATCAGTGTGGGTCCAAAACAGATGGCTAAATTATAGGGGTCCATCATATTCTCTTCACTGAACTGAGATAAACTGCAGGAAAAAAATTGAGAGAAAGAGAGTGACGATAAAGAACAATATCCTGAACTCCCAGGTACAGAGTAACCTTCTGAAATGGCAATCTGATCTAAAGTAGCAAAAATGTCTTGAGATTACTTAACTAAAGTTACCCTTAAACACCAACCACATAGTATTTACAGAAGGTAAGAGGGAGCTTTTCTGTATTGATACTTAGTTTTGTCCGCATGGCTGATGTTTTTCTAGCAGAATTTGCATGAAATGCATGTTCAGAACATTTTTCTATTGGCTAGCACATGGATTTCTTTATTCAACAGCAGGAACAATTTTCATTTTATGTTCAATTAACACAGAGAACATTTGTTAAAAGTGTCTGTGTGTAATGTGGGATGGAAGAGTCATCATCTAGCTCCATTTTAGTGCAGACTGCACATTATTGCCAGCATTCTTCTTCTTCTTCTTTTTTTTTTTGGCGTTTGTTCCATGCCCCCTGCCTGGAGAACAGCTGCATCAGCCACACCTCATAACCAGCCAAGAAGTAGATGAAAGTGTGACTGAGCTATGATGCTGCATGGTTCACAGCACAAGACTGTAAAGATTCTAACACACCCCTCTGGTTTTTTTCCCATTTGCATCCTTTCTTCACAGCCAAAATATCTTTCTCTTTCAAAGGCTCATGAATTACAGAGGACACCCAAAGCTTCATGCCAATGTTCAACATGGAATGTCAATCATAGGCATTTGAAGCATTAGTTGGTGTGACACACTGAAAACTTCTGAAGTTGAACAAAAAGGCACAGAAGAACTTTCCTTTAAAGGTTGGTGGAGCTCACCCCTACCATCCCCCACACTCCACTACTGTCATTTGCAAAATATTGTTTTCAACTGTCAAGAACACAATTCAGCTGCTGCTGTTTCACCTATCAAACTCTAAAGAACAAAGGGGGATACTCTCTTACCCCATACTTAGGCAGCAATCTTTCTGCAACGGTTCTGAGCCTCACTTGAAAGCATTTCATAACCTTTCAATGAGAACTGGGTTTCACAGCCTGAAATCAGGTTTTAGCTCAGAAAAGTTTGTTCAATGTAAAGGGTAATTTTAACTGATTATTTTACTGCATCTTTTTAACTGCAACTCTCCCTATAAGGCTTGCAGAGGAAGCATGCTGGAAATCCAGTACATTACTATTTATTTATCCATAAGGAAAAACAAGCCTTGGCTAGCTAGCCAAATTCAGTATCTAGCACTTATTCTTCAGCCTCTCCCATTTGTATATAATACTCTGTAACATTCAAGCTACATCCCTTCATGTCCTTTAATTAGAATATTTGCAGAATTTTTTAAAGGCAGAATGACATAATGCTTTTGGAAGAACAAAATGATTCTGCCTTCTAACTAAGAGATTTGTATGAAGAAATTTTACCCCAAACCTATCAATTTGAGCTTTCCAGGTTACCAGTTAATATTTACGCACAAAACAGAATTATTATATGCCTGAAACAATTCCTCTTGATATAGGCACTGTTTTCCAGTCCAGTACTTTGAATAATGAGATGGTATTAAGGGCAGAAACAAATGTTCATTTCATTGACTTCAGAAACAGCATTTGAAAAATGGAGATCCCAAGGCATGGAAAAGACTCCTACCACTCTTGTGGAAAGTTTCTATTTCTGAAGTAAAAGAAGTGTGGTCTCTCTCTGAGAACAATCTAGAAGAGTAGACAGAATAATGGCATAGTATGTGGGAATACATTTTTACAGTTTCCTGATAGCAATGAAGACCCCATTGTTTTCCAATGCAGTAATTAGGAATTGTAAACAGTGATATGATTTACTTCATCTGAACAAAACATCATCTAGTATATTGTGGAACAATGGGCATCATCCTCATCTACTTTAACAAGATTTCCATTCACAAGCCACAACAACAGATCATGTATTTCTAAAAACAGAAGGCTGCAGGTATAAGAGGATCACCACCTTTTGCCTTTTCATTATATGTTACCTTCATTAGATAGTACAATGTACAGACTGATTAAATGTACAGACTGCTACAAAATGACTGCACTAAGGGGACAAGTGATACCCAGAGATGAGCACAAGGAGGAAAGTGAGATAGCACACACAACTGCAAATAAAATGAATGAATGTTAAGTGAACAGGAACTCATTTCTTCCAGAATTACATACAGACTAGACCCCCTGATCAGCAAAATATTGCTCCATAATTGAACATTAAAAATAAGATACAAATATATATACAAGGGAATGTTGAGAAATAGCCACTGACATAGCCCAAAATAAACAAGAATATGCAACTAATTACCATGTAACCTTTTGCATCCCATTCAAAGGCCACTTTATTTTACTTTTATGTAGTTCAAGAAACACTTTAAGCTAGTTCTCCCCCACCCACCCCCGCTATCACCAAGATGATGACAACAGTATTGATTCTCTTCACTGAATTCATTCCTCAAACAGAGCTGGTCTAGACTGTCCTGTGTTGCTACTGACTTCTGCAAGGGTGGGGGACCAAATGATATAATCCACCGCAGGCAGCTTATGGATCTACTCAGTTTCCAGCAGGCATTTGGTTCTTCCAAGCAGTTCTGCCCTGTCACTCATTGATCTCTGGAGCAGAGGGACAAAGGCTTCAGACAAGATTGTCCCTAACTGGCCACTCTCTGTCTACAGATTCCAGGGGGCTCCATGGTTCACAAAAGAGCTCTGGGAAATAAAATAGCACAAGCAACCTCTAAAGTAGGAGTGGTGCAAGTTGGGGAATAAAATTACCAGACACAGATATGAGCTTATGATCAGGCCTATATTATGGTTATGTCAGTATTTCTCTGTTCTTATTCCATCAGCAGAGCAATAAGCAGAACTGATGGCTCTGTTTAAGGTAACCTGTTTCCTGCTGGGAAGGATGAGGAAGAATATCTTCCTTCATGCTGCTGGACAGAAGTGTTCAATATTTTTCTGATAAGATCACTTGCATTTGTGTAGACTTTGAATCCTTATTGGCAGAACTAGATGTACTAAATGAGGCAAGGTCTTTTTTGAGTTTGTTGTCTCCAGTGTAGTGGCAAGGTCTTTTGCCACATAACTCATGACACCTTCAGGCTGGATCACTGCCCCACCTGATTCCTTTCAGGCAACTAGAGGTGAGGGTGAGTGTCTGGATTCAGGAGATGATCAATTACTCTTTGAGAGATCAGGTGGTATACCAGCTTCTTTGAAGCAGGCAATGGTGCTCCTTCATTTGCAGAGATCATCTCTCAATCCAACTGTGTTAGAAACTTACACCTGCTTCCAACCTCTTATTTTAGGAAAGGCTATAGGTGGTTGGATTGCAGCTGCAGAGTCCAAGAGGGTGGATTATCTGGATTGTTAGTAGTCAGGATTCATGTCTTGATTAGGAATGGAGACTGCATTGGCTGCCCTTGGGGACAACCCCTGATGGAACTGAAGGGAGTGCAGCTTTCATGATCCTTTGAACTCCCTCAGCAACAAAGTTACAATGGTTAATGGTACACCATTAACTACTGTATCTTTCTGGACCACTCATGGAGTCTGGGGCACTACTGCAGTGGTTCCACTCCTACCTAAACAGGTAGTTGTGGTTGGTATTTGTGGAGAAGGAGTGCTCAAACCTGGATTACTTCAGTGTGGGATTCCATAGGGCTCAAGAGTCCCTCCTGTTTTATTTAACATCTATATAAAACATATAAACACTTATATTGGTTAAGTCCAGGCTACTTATGGAACTGTTCTTCTCTGGAGAGCACCTGCCTGTCCTGTTTGTATGACTCAGCTGGGTATGCTTTGGGCAAGCTGAGGGGATGGATTTAGAATCAGGTCTTTTTCCATAGTGACCCAGTCCCTGGGAATATACTGCCCCCCAAAATTGTAGGGTCTCCACATTTCTATCTTTTCATAAAGCTACAAAGACCTGGATTTTTAGTGCAGTATTGGAAGCCTAAAATTTTGCCACGTGGCTCATTTAACTCTGTGTTTTTTTATCTTGTGGTTAGCTGCATCTCTGGAGTAGGGTAAAAATAAGATTTAATAAATAAACAATATAAACATTAGGGGATATATATAAAAGAGAAATCCCTTAGCTGTATCCTGGATTATACACCAGCATCTGTGTTTAAGAAAACAACTTCCCTAGCAGTCTGCTAAGGGTACTTATTTGCTTAAAGATGAAATGTCCTCTGAGTTGAGCTCACCTCCTGACAATTTCATAAACATGTCCATTTTGCTTCTTGGCAACAATAAAGAAGTGGTTTGTTTCTATTTTGAAGATATTTGGTACTTTCTAATCTGGTATTTCCTGATGATCTTCTATCCAAGGAACCTTATTTGTTTTTTTTCCCCAAAACTAATCAAGGTTGGCTAGATGCTGCTTTCTATCTAGGCTCTTATTTATTTACTTACGCAAACTACTCCAATAAAAGTTTCTAGCATTAGCTTTCTGGAAGTATATAAATTATCCAATGACAGCCCTAAAAAATGAATAAACAACTTTAATGAAGAAATCTTTTTGGATTTTCTTCCCTCTGTCATTTTTAGCATAATTTACATGCTTCTAAACCATGCCATAACATGTGTACTGTTAATACCAACACTCTCAAAATTTGTACCACAGCACAGAAGATGGGAGAGAGACAGTGACAATGTGCGAGTAGCCTATTTGGAGAAAGAGCACAGAAATACCCTTTCTGAAAACCCCCATATTTTATTATGGTATAACAGTGACCTATAGAACATCAGTTAACCCCATGTGGGAACGACTGAATACACAGAACTCAGTATTTGTTTTTATCTCTCCCATATAATTCTTTTAGAACAATTTAATAACTGGAGAAACATATGAATCATATGGGTTGTTAGGAAGATAGAATCAGCTATTAAGTAGTTTTCTGATGTGCTGGCTTTACCATGACAATGGATTAATATTTTGCTTGATTGGGCAAAGCAACTATCAGTCTTTACTGGACTTCATGTATGAAGAAGAAGGCTTCTTCTGACTTTTTCATGCATTCTAGATCTTAGAATCAATTTTAAATCTTGTAAAACCGGAAGGCTACTATTCAACAGGAGGAAGTAACAAGAAGATAGAGGGCCTGCCAAAGAGCATTCAGTCAGGGGTTGCAGATGGTTTCACAGAAACCACCCTCTCTGCAACAAACTCTCAGTGTAAAACCCAGGGCCTTATTCCATCAGATGTTATCTAGATATGAACTATGTAACAGCAGGAAAGAGCTGTTTTATTGAGATCATTATAACATCTATGGCAGAGTGAAGAAGGTGCTCATGATATTATAAGCACAAATTCCAATATCTTGCCTCATCTAAATACCCATAAGAAGAAGGCTGCAGATATGCACAGAAGCATCTGTGTATAGGTGAGATATATGAAATCAAGCATACATTATTCCAAATACAAAATACTGCTTACAAACCTACAGCAGAATTGTATACATTCCTCAAATATCTGGCAGAAAACTGGTTAATGGATGCATATATTAGAATGTCAGTCTGCCTTTCCCTTAAAATAAGTCTCTTAGCTATTAAAAGCAGAATTGAAAACACATGCATCTGGCTAGTGAAATCTCAGGAATTAAAAGGTAACATCCTAAAGCAAGTCAGATCCTGGTACAATTGTAGTGTCTGCAAAGTTCTTTTCTCCTGTTACTACTACTAGAAGGAAAATACTTGCTGCAACATGAGTAAATATACTTTACTTTTGCAATTTAAGCAGGATACAAAATTCTGATGCAACTTCTGGGAATGGTTTAAAACATTAGAACATGAGAAATGGCCACTAGACCTTCCTATATTGAACTTTCTAATATTCATATAGTTTAGTTCCTGAGGCCAATTAAATGGGAATCTTTGGAATTCAACAAAATTAAAAAATGAAGTGAGTTATTACATAGTTATGCCAGGCTAAACAGCAATTCAAATTATAAATGACAAAACCAAAACAATACAATTCCAAGTGACCACATTTATGATAGTTAACCTTTCAGACTATCTTGCAGCCCCATAAAAGAGGATTAAATACAACGCATTAAATCCTGGTAGAAAGGATTTTAGCTGAAACTAAAAAAACCCTTAATAGGAAGAAAAAAAATGACAATAAAACCATCAGTAGGAAGGTAAGTAAATTCTTTATCAGTGAAGAACTTCAAGCTGAGGAAGAACAACTTTCTGTTGGAGATGTTTTAACTATGAACTTCATGCATGAAGTAGGTGTGGGGTTACTCAGTCCAAAAGGTTTCTTTCAACTCTAAGATTCTAATATTTTCCTCCAGAACACCAATGTGATAGTTATTCAATTACTTGAATACTTACTGGCTGAGGAATGCAAAGAGGTATCTCATTACAATCAATGTGGTTTTAGGCAATGTCAGCAGGACTTTTCGAATGTGCAGAGCTCTCTCTTGCAGATTATCCATTGCTAAAGAAAAGGAAAACAGCTTCAGAGACCGTTGTTCAAACCATATGATAAAACTGAAGAACCTGTTCACACTTTGGCTTACTACTCTAAGTGCTAGTTGACAGGAATAATTTGATCTTTAAACATTATTTTGTTTGAAGGTGTGTAAATCTTAGTTTATCATATGCAGAGGCATTGGGAATTCACTGCATAGTTAGAAGTGTGTATACAGCTTTTTTGCATCTCAGTAATGTGATTATGAAGGTTAAAAAAGGTTCTCATAGATGCAGGGATGGTGATAAACCCAAGCAGGACACAGACCATCAAGATGCTCTACAAAAATGAATGATGTTTCTTAACTGAACAATAGTGTGCTCTTATTTATTACATTTTCTATTTCTTATACTCTATTTCCATATTTCCTCTTATCTAGTATCTATCCTAGAATTTATTCCTATACACTAGCATGACTTTACTGTATTTCCTAAATTCCTTATATTTTTTCTAATCTTAATTGCTATTTCTTGTTTTTATAATCCAGGTCTATCCTTTGTCCTTAAATCCCTAGCTGGCCTCACCAATGCCCAAACAGTCTTAACCATTTCATTTCTACCTTTCTTTTACTGTTTACTGCTATACTTGGCTTTATATTCTTCTTTTCTTTTTTATATCTGATAACAATTTATTAAGTTTGTCTACCATCTCTTCTCTATCTTAATTTCAACCTCCATCCTTCCATTTTTTACTCTTAACCTATGTCCTCATTTTCTGTTTTAGCTGCACTTAATCCTTATCCTGAGACTATTCTACTTCATCTTGGTTCTCCAATGCTTGGGACATCTTGCTCCTTTAACACTCAATGCATCTGACTTACTCTGGTTTCCCTGGTGTTGGCTCTCTAGCACTGGCCCTCTGGCACCTAGCTTGTACACTCCAGCCTAAACTCTGACCTCTGTTGCTGGCCCTGCCAGTTCTACCTCTGGGACTGACAACTGTGCTATAGGTGTGTCTCTTTGTTGTCATGTTTTTAAGGTGTGGGGATGGACAGACTAACCACCTTTCTGTCAGCTTTGTCCTCGCTCAGAACTTAGCCTGTCCCTCTAATGACACTTATCTGAGCATCTGCCCTCCTTACTGCTTGGTAGCTACTGAAGCCAGCTTCAGCCCAGTGCCACTCTGGACTCTTTGGTATCTACTCTGGGCCTTCCTCTGCCAAATTCTTCTAAGTGCTTCTGAAATCCGCTGCTTTCTTCTTTCTTTTCTGATGTACTGCCTTGCTGGGTGTGCTTACTGATACTGATACCACCTGGTCTCTGCTGGGGCCTGCTCCTGCGCTGGTCCTCCAAACTCTGACTTCCCCTCTAGCTGCCATCATTAACTTTGTGGCCCTCCTGGACCTTCTCCTCTCTCCATGTTGTTACAGCCTCCTTCTCCTGACAATAAGTAGTATCTCCCTGAGTACATCTTCTTCACCATTTTGCCCTTTTCACTACTCTTCCCTCTTCCTCTTTTTCGTCAGGCCTTTGCCACCAGCACCTAACCAAGCAAGCCTCTCCTTTCCTGCTCCTCCGTTCTGGATTCTTCTTACAGGGATAGATTTACAAAAATAGTTAAGGATATCTGGGAAGGACATGAAGGAAAATGACATGGGCATTTTGGCCACTGTGCCCATCGTCTCACAGGGGCTATGCAATAAATTTGAATGAGAAGTAGCTGACTAGATTTTGAAACACTGTCCAGGATACAATTAAGATTCATAACCTGTTACATACAACTTTCAGAACAGATCATGATTTTAAAGGGAATTCAGGAAGTTTAACTGGGGCAGGACAGAATGTGGCTGTCCCAATAATTTTGTTAGAGGTTGAATTATGGGATGTACAAAATGCCAATTGCACTGAGCCCACATTAATGGTAATATTTTAAAACTAATCTTTGGAACCAACTTACATGATGTAGTCCCTATCTCCTTACTAGCCTGCCTGTACTTTAAGGAGATCAACCAAAAATCCCTCTTATGTGTCTGGTTTCTAAAAGCAATTAGAATTGTGGACACAAGGAAAGGACTTCTTCTGCAATGGCTTCTACATCTCAAGAATGCATTGCCAGGCTTTTTGAAAAACACCAAAGAAACATTTGTTTTGGGTAGCTTTTCTTGAATTTTTATTGGATTGCCTATTGTATTATATGGTTTCTGATGGTATTTGGGGAGTGGGGATAGTTTTGTTCTAATCAGCATCATATTTTTTATTACTATTTAACTTTGCAGTGTCTTTTATTTATTTTGGAGAGTTCCTTGCTTCAGTTCTTACCCTTAATGGTAGTCTATATGTATTTTTAAATAGAGAAATAAATATAAGATCCAGAATAGGCTTTTGCTAGATGCAGGTATATGTAGCTCCTTTGCTGAAAGTTCAGTCCTTCCTCTATTGGGCAACCTGCCCTCCTCCACTGGGCTTCACACCCCAGCAGAATGGTTATTTATTTATTTTTACATTTGTTTATTATTATTTTTTAGAGGATAATCTAGAATGCCTTATGTGGTCATCTTAAGCATAACTTTACATCCAAAAATGTTTTTTGGCTCTACATATACTGCAGAAGCATTTTTAGGAAAAAAAAACCCTAATTAGGGGGTACAGCCTAGTGCTTTCTATGAAAGTATGTCAACCATAAGTGGGGGGGGGGGAGGAATAGAGATCACCAGTCCCAATTTGATATTAATGAGACAATGCAATCACTTCTTAAATTCTTAGCTTCTAGAATGTTAAAGCTGCTTAAAGCATGGTGTACGCCTACATAATTTAAAATCAGAGGAATCTCTGTAATATTACACCAAATTCTTATATCAAATCTAACAAGCTCTCTTGAAAGTCTCCTTGGCCCTCTTTATGGTACTGTAATGAGCTGTGAGAATAACCTTGATGAACAGGAAGAGCCACAACCAAGACAACGGTCAGATAAGAGAAATCTGAGTCCAAAGCAGGAATGTAATTTGAGAAAGTGTCTCAGACTCAACCCTCCCTACATCCTCTCCTCATTCAGTGACCGCAATCCATTGCTTAAATCAGAAGCAAAATGGTCACTAAGCAAAATGGTTGCTAAGCAAACACATGACTGAAAGAAAGAGATGCTGTAAAGATCACTGGTTGCTGCTGTGTTGTTTAAAGTTCTTGCACACAGCTACACCAGCATTACTCTCACTCTGGCATGTGTGGTTGCCAGGGGCACATATTTGGTTGTAAGTGTGCATTTTTTTTTAAAGTTATCATTGTATTTGTGAATGGTCACTAAATGAGGTAGCCGCTAAACAAGGAGTGGCTGTAGTTCTTTTGAACATAAAGGCAGGGAGGGGAGAGGTGCATTCAGACTTGCAAGATTCTGCTACTGTAACCTTATAATAAAAGTAGTATTAGCATTCATAATTTTGGTCTCCTGGTCTGGTCTACCTTGAAGGGCTGACAGGTACAGATTTCCCTTCACGTCAATTTCTGCAATTCATTTAAAACTGACTATAAAAATTAGTCATAGTTGGTACTACACCCTCTTAAACTGCCTTATATTAATTAGTCTGTTTCTAGATTGAGTTGGAGGGAATATAATCAGATTGGTACATATTAACATCTTTGGAGTAGTGCCCATTTTGCTAGAAAGTTTTTGAGAAACAAATAATTACACAACAGTCTTTAATAATTAATGCTAGCATGGCTTTAGTGCCCTTTTTATCATTTTTCCTAGGACATACAAAATAAAGCAGCACAAGAAATTAATTAAATATTTCTCATTAGTTGCCAAATTAACTATAGCAAAACATTGGAAAACTGAAGTGCATATGTCTTTGGATCAATAGTTTTTTTTTAAAAGTATGGAAGATAGAATTGAATAAAAAAATCAGCACAGCAGTAAAATCTTGAAGAATCCCTTTTTATTCCCATTTGGTCTCCATTTCTTTATGAAATCAACAAGGATATTCTTAATAAAACACCTTCATCTACACAGATGAATACGGACATGGAAAAATACCGAAATCCATAATTTCATTAGAATTACAATTTAAAAATATTTCCATGTAGGACAAACCACATATCTATGTTTTTTGTTTCTGCTTTTATGTATTGTATTATGATCCCCCCCAAATTGCTTTATTGATCACTATATGGTTGTTTTATTATTTTTTCTTTTAAAAAGGCAGGCTGAGATAGTAGAAAGCATTCTGGAATACAAGGGATAGTGGTAGAGAGCAAGCTCATCATTTTCCTTTGGTAACTGGACACTTTTCTCTCCAAATTCCCAAATGGAACTACTGAGTGTTATGGTTTTACAACCGGACTTGAAAATCTGAAACAGGCCAAGTGTGGAAGAACTGAATACTGTCCATTGTCACAATTACATCAGATAGTCTATTACACTTAGTTTATTAAGGTGGGTGTTTCAAAAGAAATCTTTAGCTTAATATTCCACAGGCAGATTAGCATTCCTGAATGATTAGGCAAAGAGCCTCTGTCTACAGCAATATAATGGGAAAAAAGTGGGCAGCATAAAGCCTTGGCTCTGGAAGTTCAAAATTATTTGGCAACAAGCTACTCTTTTCATCTAACAGTTAAACTGTGTAGACTGGTTAGCTGTGAGAATGAAACCGCAGATCTTTTTAAGAGGAGCTCTCCTATATCCTACTTCAAAGGCTGTTTCCAGCATGGTCCTTCTTATGTTCTGACAATGGATTCACTGTTTGCTATAGAAGTGAGTCAGCACCAAGAAGTTCACTGTAAAACTATCAGTCCCAGGGAAAAAATTAATACCCTTGAAATGATGAGGTGTAAGTTACCGGCTTGTTTTCTGTGTTGAGCAGAAAGATGCTGTGAGGAATGTCTAATACTTTTATGGAAGGTAGCTGACCAACAAAGACAGCTGTTGGCTGACTTTCGCCTTCTCAAATAAATAAATAATGAAGTCATGTTGAACCTACATTGTCTTCAAATGATAAGGACAAAAAAGGACAAAAGGCTTCCTTTAAGGTAAAAGTGTTCTGCATCAGATTGTTTTTAACTTACTAACTTACCCAGTCACTTTTCTTTAGTATAATCAAAAGGAATTACATTGGGAAGGACAAGCTAAGAATATGGTGGGATGGGACAGCCAAGAAAGACTGGATCAAACCCCAAAATAGGCAAATGTTTCAACATTAAGGGGAAAAAAGCCTTCCTGAAACAAGAGAGAGAGATACAAAATCTTTATGTCCTTATTCCTATTCCGTCAGCCATTATTAGGACATTAGAGTCTACTGAGGCAGCACACAGAATCACCCTTTTAATCTGTTAACTACAATGGAAGTCCCAGGTTAACAGCAGTGTGTGGTGGGGTTCAGATGAGAAATACAAACTGTTGAACTAAGTTACAGGCTCAGTGAGAGGCAAACAATGATTTTTACTCTGAAATTATGTATTTACTATCTCAGAAGCAAATGGACATGATTCAGTTCTCTGGTCTCCTGTGAGATACTGTCAGGATTAAGGAATGTTCTGAGAAGCCAGTGGTATGGTCTTTAAAAGATAACATTAAGTCCTACAAGAAACAGGGCTGAAGAGGAGACACTCAGCAGAGATGAAGAGGATGGATAAGATACCAAAGAATGATGTATTAGACATAATCACTATTTTGTGAGAAAAATGAGCAGGGAGAGAAAAATAATTTCTATTTCAAATACTCAAATATCTTCGTTTGTTTGCATCTATTTATAGTTCTCTGTTGGGAAGTATATGTTTTTAAAAATTATTATTTCATTTCCTTGCAAGCTTTATTGCTAACTGACTCATCTCATTCTTGTGCTACTTACTGACACAGGCAATCAGGTCATGAAAGATTTCCTTGGGGAAGAGGGGATGTTCTAGCCCACGAAAATAGAGTTTTAGAACACCCGCTATTGAGTCCATATCATGATCATTTTGGTCTCCAGCCAGTGGATCCTCCCCTGGTTACCACAAAACAAAGACAACAGCAACAGAATAAATAGGATATTTGCATATTAAAAACAAACAAACTATAAAATATGGGGGAAAAGATCAAGATTTTTTTGAAAATGAAAACATAGGAAAGAGCCCATGTGGCTCGAAAATAAATCCAGTGAATAGTTTAACTCCCATTCTGAAAAGAGGCATCCGGCACAAGGCTAACACTAACAGCAACATTTTCCAAGCTGGTACCCTTAATATGTTATGTGGTTATAACACAGACAATTCACACTCTGACTAAGGGGATAAAAATTATAATCTAACACCCCAGCAGGTACCAGATCAGCAAAGGCTGACCTGGGGCAATAGGGATTAAAGTGGAACATGTGAAAGTTCTATGATATTGTGGGAAGTTCTGGTTTCAGAATGTTTGCAGAAATGTCACATGCAATTAAGAACAATGCCAATAATCGGCCATGCATGAAATGCAGGAGCACATCGTTCTCTGGCATTTTGGAATCCATCTATTGCTGCCATCACAGCTAGAGAAAGAAAGGGTTCCCATGAAAAACTTGCTATTGGAAATAATCAGATTTGACTATTGGGGAAACTGTCAGTTATATATTCTTCATGTAACTGAAACAATCAAAACTCATCTCATATCATAATACCTCATAGGATAATTAATCAGAGAATTTTCCTCAATTTTAATTGTCAACAGGGACCTTTAGACATTAATATACCTTTACTGTTTTAGTATCTGCTTTGAAAAGAAACATGAGAAATGGATGTAGAAAATTTAGTGTTTTGTACTGACATCAGAGGAAGATGATCTGGAATTTAAGGCAATCCTTCACTGAAAAATCAGACAGAAAAAAATTGCTTCCACAATTGTACTCTCAGTAAATCTAAGATGGTGCTTCCATTTTAAAGGTAAACTATTTACCTTCCTCTTAGTTAAATATAGTATTTATATAATAATGCTAGAACAGTTGGCTGTCTCTCTTTAGAAGTCTTTCATGGGAAACCTGTAGACCTTCAGCTGTTGCAGAACAATTCTCAGCACCCCTCATCCTTGGCCATACTGATTGGGGATGCTGGTGTTAGGATAGCAACGTCCCTTGCTCTGTAAAATGTAGTATTTATATTTTGCATACATCCACCCTCCCTCTCACACACAAAAATGTACTATATTTCCATGATCATATTTATTAAGGAAAATGACTAATTTAATTATTTAATTTAAATGATTTGTATGTCACCCAATTCACAAAACAGGCATCTTACATAGGATTAAAAACAAAACAAGGTAAGCAACATATACAGTACTGTGCAAAAGTTTTAGGCAGGTATGAAAAATGCTGTAAAGTAAGAATGCTTTCAAA